TATACATAGAGAATCCTAAAGATGCTACCAGAAAACTACTAGAGCAAGTCAATGAATTTGGTAAAGTAGCAGGATACAAAATTAATGCACAGAAATCTCTTGCATTCCTATACACTAATGATGAAAAATCAGAAAGAGAAATTAAGGAAACACTCCCATTTACCACGGCAACAAAAAGTATAAAATACCTAGGAATAAACCTATGTAAGGAGACAAAAGACCTGTATGCAGAAAACTATAAGACACTGATGAAGGAAATTAAAGATGATACAAACAGATAGAGAGATATACCATGCTCTTAGATTGGAAGAATCAATATTGTGAAAATGACTATACTACCCAAAGCAATCTACAGATTCAATGCAATCCCTATCAGACTACCAATGGCATTTTTCACAGAACTAGAACAAAAAATATCACAATTTATATGGAAACACAAAAGACCCCAAATAGCCAAAGCAATCTTGAGAAAGAAAAATGGAGCTGGAGGAATCAGGCTCCCAGACTTCACACTATACTACAAAGCTACAGTAATCAAGACAGTATGGTACTGGCACAAAAACAGAAATATAGATCAATGGAACAGGGTAGAAAGCCCAGAGATAAACCCATGCACATATGGTCACCTTATCTTTGATAAAGTAGGCAAGAATATAGAAGGGAGAAAAGACAGCCTCTTCAATAAATGGTGCTGGGAAAACTGGACAGCTACTTGTAAAAGAATGAAATTTGAACACTCCCTAACGCCACACACAAAAATAAATTCAAAATGGATTAAAGACCTAAATGTAAGGCCAGGCACTATAAAACTCTTAGAGGAAAACATAGGTAGAACACCCAATGACAAAAATCACCGCAAGATCCTTTTTGACCCACCTCCTAGAGAAATGGAAATAAAAACGAAAATAAACAAATGAGGCCTCATAAAACTTAAAAGCTTTTGCACAGCAAAGGAAACCATAAACAAGATGAAAGACAACCCTCAGAATGAGAGAAAATATTTGCAAATAAAGCAACTGACAAAGGATTAATCTCCAAAATTTACAAGCAGCTCATGCAGCTCGATATCAAAAAAACAAACAACCCAATCCAAAACTGGGCAGAAGACTTAAATAGACATTTCTTCAAAGAAGATATACAGATTGCCAAGAAACACATGAAAGCATGCTCAACATCACTAGTCACTAGAGAAATGCAAATCAAAACCACAATGAGGTATCACCTCACACCGGTCAGAATGTCAATCATCAAAAAATCTACAAACAATAAATGCTGGAGAGGGTGTGGAGAAACGGGAACCCACTTGCACTGTTGGTGGGAGTGTAAATTGATACAGCCACTATGGAGAACAGTATGGAGGTTCCTTAGAAAACTAAAAATAGAACTGCCACACAACCCAGCAATCCCACTACTGGGCATATACCCTGAGAAAACCATAATTCAAAAAGAGTTATGTACCACAATGTTCATTGCAGCTCTATTTACAATAGCCAGGACATGGAAGCAACCTAACTGTCCATCAACAGATGAATGGATAAAGAAGATGTGGCACATATATATAATGGAATATTAGCCACAAAAAGAAACGAAATTGAGTTATTTGTATTGAGGTGGATGGACCTAGGGTGTGTCATACAGAGTGAAGTAAGTCAGAAAGAGAAAAACAAATATTGTATGCTAACACATATAAGTGGAATCTTAAAAAAAAAAAAAGTTTCTGAAGAACCTAGGTGCAGGACAGGAATAAAGACGCAGAAGTAGAGAATGGACTTGAGCACACACGGAGCGGGAAAGGTAAGCCGGGACGAAGTGAGAGAGTGGCGATGGACATATATACACTACCAAATGTAAAACAGATAGCTAGTCGGAAGCAGCCGCATAGCACAGGGAAATCAGCTCGGTGCTTTTTGATCACCTAGAGGGGTGGGATAGGGAGGGTGGGAGGGAGACGCAAGAGGGAGGAGATATGGGGAGGTATGTATATGTATAGCTGATTCACTTTGTTATACAGCAGAAACTAACAAACCATTGTAAAGCAATTATACTCCAATAAAGATGTTAAATAATAATAATAATACATGACCAGAACATAGGCTGTCAATTAACCAAGCATGAGTGAGTAAAATCCAACAAAATTTCTGTATTTCTGATTTTTCCAATCTATTAATCACAGCATAGTAAGAATGCCCCAAAATATGAATTGACCTAGAAAGCAGAAAAAAAGTGAAAATAAAGTAAATCTTATCTCACATGTCAGGAACATTCTTAATAAAGTATGCATAATGAGAGGCAAATGCAATTGTAATTAAGCATGAAGGCAGTTACATATTTCCCATGAAACAATTATGCAGAATATGTAAAATAAGAGTGTCAGTAAGTACTTCGGGGAAGCGCTGGCATTTCATTTTACAACAGATTTCTTAGATACAGAAGACCAGAACATTCATAAGATCACTCCAAAGTCCTATTTAAAGCCACAGAGGTGCTGCTACCAGTCCGCTTACCATTTCTTCAACATAAGGGTAAAGCATGTCTCCAAAGTATTCGGTAGATTCGATTGGAAGCTGTGCCGGCAAATTGTCAATGGAGCACATCAGAATCCCAGAGCCTTCGACGCTAGGGGAAGCAACATGCTTTATTCGGATGACAAAATTTATGTGTAAGCTCTAACTTTCCCAGATGTCTACTCCGTTATTTACACTTCATAATCATTTGTAATCTTCTACCACAGTATATAGGAAAATAAACAAGACTTTTCAAATAAAACTTTTCCCTTCTTCACAACCCATTGAAATGTAGTATGTGTGTGTGTGTATTTAAGTGCTCAAATCTGAATGTGGTTTTTCTACCAAATTTTTTAATATGCTTGAGCATATCTCTGGAAATTTGCATAGCCTTCATAAAGCCGTGAAATATTGAGTATTTTAGAGTAGTATATCAAAGGAAGTAAATGATGCATTATTATGTATCTCTCCCCATCTAACAGCTTTAGCAAACTCACCTGTCATGAATAATATGCTGATCTGCATCATACATGCAGAAGGGATGCTCTATTGTCGTACACTCAGTCATAAACTCAATAGATCCTCCGGTGTCAGCTGAAATGTCACATATTGCCACAAGTCTGTAAATAACATCAATACTTAGATGTGATCATGGATCTCTGAAGTCCCCGACAGAATTAAAAATGAGTAAAAATGAAAGGTGCTTGAACAATTTTCAATGTAGATGCTAAATATTTCCTAGGTTCCTTAGCTCTTTTTCCTACAGCTCACATGTTCAGGAAACTGTTCTTTTGGGATACAGAGAATCTTCCTAATAGGAGTTTTAGTCTCCCCAAGCAAAAAGAAAAAGAGGAAGAGGAGATGGATAGAGGAAGATAAGAAAGGAAAAGAGATAAAAGTAAAAGAAAAAAAACCCTCCTTATACATACTACTATATATAAAATAGATAACTAATAAGGTCTATTGTATAGCAGAGGGGACTCTACTCAATACTCTGTAATGGCCTCTATGGGAAAAGAATCTAAAAAAGAGTGGATAGGGAAGTCCCTGGTGGCTCAGTGGGTAAGACTCCACACTCCCAGTGCAGGGGGCCCAGGATCAATCCCTGGTCAGGGAACTAGATCCGCATGCATGCCACAACTAAGAAGTCCACATGCCGCAACTAAGACCCAGTGCAGCCTAAATAAATAAATATTAAAAATAAAAAAGAGTGGATATATATATATATATGTATATATATATGTATAACTGGTTCACTTTGCTGTACAGCAGAAACAACACAACATTGTAAATCAACTATACTCCGATAAAAATGAAAAAAAAAAACCCTTCCCTAGAGAAATCATTGACAACAGCCTAAAGTTAAGCTAGTTAGCCAACTTTAAATAACTTAGGAAGTTCGACTACACTACCTCCACCCCGCTTAGTAATACATAATTGTATGTGTTATTACAGAGAAATCTCTGGAATTATGAACAAAAGTCTCAGCCCAGGATTCGAAATCCTTTTGAGGTTGACCACAATTTTCCTGCCCGATCTCTAATTGCCCATATAAACCCTATACTAGGGCTACACTGTGGCTCCATAGTTATCAAGCACCAATCCTATCACTTGAAATCCTTGTTCTCACTCCTCCCTAGAGACTTTGCCGAGCCTATGCTCCCACTTTCTTCTAAACTCTTGCGATATTGATTGCTCCTAGCATTCCTTTGGAATTTAATTGATGCCAACTACATGCCTGAGGGCAGCAACCACATTTTTTCTTTATCTCTCAGCTTAGCAGAGTGCCAGGCAGACCAGGTGCTCCACAAATATTTATTTATTAACGAATTCATTCAACGTTTAGTAATTATTTGAATGAACATTATATGTCAAACAACGTACTGGGTACCTGTGGCCAAAACAAATAGGGCCCCTATCCTTAAGGAGATTAAGTTCTAGTAAGTTCTAGTAAGGCAGGAAATATCATAAACACAGGAAAATTAAAATCATAAACACATGAATTTCAGGGAAAAATACAGTAACAGACTGAAGAGTGATGTGAATGGGGAAGCAAGAGACGACCTCTCTGAGGAGCTTACTTTTGAGCTACGTGTGGAGTCACATAAGAGAAGAGAATCTCAAGAAAGAGGGAAGGAAATAGACTCACAAACATAGAAAACAAACATATGGCTACCAAAGCGCAAAGGGAGGGAGGGAGGGATAAATGAGGAGCTTGGGATTAACAGATATACACTACGATATATACAATGGATAAAAAATGAGGACTTACTGTATAGCACAGGGAACTATATTCAATATCTTATAATAACCTATAATGGAAAATAATCTGAAAAAGGAAAATATGTATATATATACGTATGTATATATATACATACGTATATATATGTGTAACTAAATCACTGTGCCGTATACTTGAAACTAACAGGGCATTGAAAATCAACTAGACTTCAGTAAAAAAAATAAACTTGCTCCCTAGAGCAAACAAAAAAAAAAAGAAAAAGAAACTTTGCAATCTCAGTTATCCCTAACATGTTATCACCGAGTCCAGCTGATCACTTAACACAGTTAAGCCCAGAACACTTTTTCTAACTTTCGGGATGTCACCTTATACATATATATATAACTGAATCACTTTGCTGTACACCTGAAACTAACAACATTGTAAATCAACTATACTTTGATTAAAAAAAAAAAAAAAAGAGGGAAGGTTAACTGTCAAATATTTCCAAGAGATTAAATAAGACAAGGCAGACAACTGGTTATTAATAGTCAAGTCCTGTGCTATGTGGGTCCCCTATGTGTGATACCCTCACAGTGGGCCTTGCTGCTGAAAACTGCCATCATTGCTGAAGTCCTTACTTGTGTGGCAATGCAGGGCAGCCTTCAACACCAGCAACTGAGGACTTGCCTGGAGCCAGGAGACTCTGAGCATCTTGGCGAGTTAGTAGGCGAGGAGTGTTTTGTTCCCAGTAGATTCCATTAATTAAACAAGTTGTATAGGGTGCAATCTGTAAAGCAGATTCCAAGGTCAGCAAGATAGGAAATAGCCTTTTTCAAAGCAGTGTGCTGAAAGAGAGCTATCAGTAAAGTTCATGAGAAATAATTTAACGTTATTTCTAATTGACTTTGTTATTTGCCAAGTCAGTGGCCACCTTTCGAAGCAAAGACGGTAAATACCCACCCAGATTTCAGTGGAAAATTATCTCATTATAGAAAAACATATGAATATAAATACATTAATATTTGTGTTCTATAATGCCTTGCATAGCCAAGAAAAAGGAAATAACAGAAGTTCAAGTGACCAAGTGCTCTATTTCCAGCTCAGCCTCTAGTAGCATGTGATCTAAAGCATGCTACCTTAACTTCTCTGGGCTCTGTTTTCCTTACCTGCCAGATGGGGATAATGCGTACCCTATTCCTCAAAGGAATGCTGTGAAGATTAAATCAGATAACATCTGTAAGCTCCATGGGCAAATGTGCTACATGCATGCATACATGGTAACTAGGTCATTATAAGTTTGGGGATGCATCCAATCACCAGTATTTCTGTGACTGGGGAAGAGAAGGGATGGAAACTTACTAGATTCAAAATTTTTCAATTTGAAACTAGTTTTATAATTCCTGTTTCTCAAGCATCTCAAGCATTTTCAAGCCACAGGTAAGAGTTCTTCTATAATATGCTCTACATGCTATAACACTAAATTTCATACCAGAATCTAAAAATGTTATATTGTTCAAATACATTTAAAATTATTTAAAATATTCCTTTTCACAATTAGATGCATGCATTTTTTTTGTTGGTTTATTTTGAGAAGGACTGTTGTATGACCAATGACTACAAAACACACAAATATATTATCCTTCTTATAAGACGAGACCAGTGTGTCCCCATCAGAAGGATCTGAACTGGAAGTAACTTTTGTACAGTGGAGATGGGTCTTCCATAGCCATACTGTTTCACTCTGGTCCCCTGTAATCAATGGCATGTATTTCAAGATGGCTGGCTGAGGTTGACTGCAATTTGTGGCCATAGAAGGGATAGAACTATGTTGAGAACAACTCTCATAGACACTATGGTTTCTCAACAGTACTAACTAATTCAGGGTAAATACAGAAAAGAGTAACCCACAGGAAATGGTTTAGAGCAACTGGGCACATGCAGACCTGAAGGAGAAACAGAGTCAGTGAAGCAATGTGCATACCCATAGAAACTACCAAAGCCACAAAGCAAAGGCCACTCCGAACACCAAGAAAAGCCAACAACACCTAAGGACAACTCATAATACCCAAAGGACTCACCACAAGTCAATATGGAGAACTGAAAACCAATGTACACAATCACAATCTCTCTCCTTCAAAGCAGCCTAACTATAGTGTATCACGAGCAACCAACTCAAAAGCTAGGCATGATACTCACATCAGTATTAAAACGGCTTATGTAGCGCTCAGGATATTTGTCATACTCTACAGGATCATATATACCATCTGTTTTCCTGACGAGATGATGATGGCGACTTAACACTGTCCCGTACACTTTTCTCAGGTCTTGCAGAGGAGAAAGGAATTAGTAAAGTGGGTCACAAATGATAAAGGTTTATGGTGATAAAATATTATAACACTGAAACTGTTAAAAAACAGTAAAAGATACAAACACTCGCCCTCCCTGCCCTCCCTACCTCCATTTTGGGAAACTTCTTTTAATTCATGTGGCTCCACATATTCACAAGGTAATTCATTGAAGATTTCTTGGGCTCCCTGTAAATAATGCATGAGTGAAAAATCTAAAAATCAATCAGAAAAGAGCCAATACGATTTCCTGCAAAGGTTCCAACTCATTTTCCCCACAATTTTATAGCTCAACTTGCCCTGCCCTGCAACTGGGACCACAACACAGAAGCACAGATGAGCCACTTGCATGCAGCCTGTGAACCAACTTTTATTCCCATTTAAACACCACTCATTGGAAGGGGCTTTAATTGTTTTACTTAAAGTTATTCAGCATAGAAGCAAGGGGGTTTAAGAACTGACAGTACGATAAAAATATTTCTATTTAATTTTTGCTCCATTGCAGAAATTATTTCAAGTGGGGTAACTATATTTCCTACTTACATCAGATGGCTATCTCACAGTATAATATAAATAGTGATGTCCTGTTTGTAAAATATTTTCGCTGAAGAAAGATCTATTTTGCAATTACAAGTTTCTCTATGGGATCAAAAATACATTCTCGAAACTACCCCAAAAGGAAGAAAGTAACAATAGTAGTCTTGAGTTAAGCCTCTTAACATCTTTTGGCAAAACTCCAAATCTTGTAAAATTTACATCCTGGGGTCACTTCCAAATTTTGGGATATCTCAGTGATAGAGGTAAAACAGAGCACCCTAAGAATAGACCTTTACACAACAAGGAGTTATCCCTCTAAAAAGAAAAAAAAAAAGAAAAACCATTCAAAGCTTCTGACAGCTTGGAATCAACTCAAAGCAAAGACACTAAGTTTGGACCAGTACTGCACTTTACTGTGGGAAAAGTACATAGGTAAGAAAAGTACCAAGAACAGAATGCCCAGTCATGGAAAAGAAGGGCTCTGAAATGTTACACAAAATGCCCACATCCTTTGGGTTAGTGTCAGAGTTTCAGACTGCTTTACAGAAAGAAGACAGTTGGAGCATACCTTAGATACATTACCAGTCCCTGTGAACACAAATGTTAAGGGCCCTATCGACTTTGGCATCAAACCCAGAGATATTTCATAGCCAGTGTCTCGGACAGCTTGCACAGCCTGACTGCTGTTCCTGTAGTTGTGAGCCATGCCAATGTGCTGCAAGCAAGCACACGTGGATCACATTAGTCTACCACCTGAGACATGTTTCTATTCTTAAAATGTGACATGTATTTCAAAAAAAAATAGACACAATAAACATCTCACCATAAAAGGTGTGTGATGTCCCAAAGCAAGGAGCCTTAAACCCATTCCATGTAAAATGTTGATCATCCCTGTTGCAGAATCAGACCAACAGAAAGACCATTAGTTGGGAGGAGTTGCAGCTGTTCTCTCTACCTGTCCTCCAACCTGCTCCGTGCTCTGAGAAAGCACAGACCACAGCATCTCAGATTTGGAAGGGGCCCCAGTAGTCATCTTATCCATTCCCTCAACTTTCTGCCATCGAAAGCGTTAACCCAGCTGCACCCCGACCTGTCCCCTCCACATCCAATCCTGCTAAAACGGAAAGAGTGCCCCTCTTTTTCTCTAAGGTTAATCTCTCCACCTTTGCTCCAGATCCCATCCCTTCCTGTCTCTCTCAGGAATTTACTCTTGAATTATGTCCTCTCTCTATCCCTCTCTATTGGTTCATTCTTATCAACATTTAAACACGCCTCCATTTCTCTCATACCAGAAACAAATGAATAAGCAAAAAAGAAGTCACCATTGACCCTGTGACCCCTCCCCCCATCATTTCAGTGACCTACACAGCTAAACTCGTGGACACTTTTCAGATCTTGACTTACTTGTCGGAGGTATCTGGCAATGTAGAGCCCCTCTTTGTTGGGACTCTCTTCCCTCAGCTTGCCTGGCTTGAACATTTTCACCCTACATTTCTGCAGGCTCCACTTCCCATGCCCATTCCTTTTATATTAGTGCCTTGCCCTTTGCTTGGTATTGGTCACTCTCAGGATTCTGTCCCAGGCGCTATTCTCTTCAATCTCTACATTTTTCCCTTAGCTAATCTCATGCATTCCTAAATTTCAAGCACTCTCTGTATGATGATGACTCCAAGTCTGTATCTCTAACACAGATATTTTATTTCAAGACCCAACCAACCACCTTATGGATTTCTCAATCTGGATGTCCTTCACGTAGCAGAAACTTAGCATGCCTGTAACGAAGACCTCAGCATCCATTCTCCCCTTCTTTTCCGGAAGGGAACTTTCCCTCTCCATATCCCTGACAAATTTTCTTTGACCTTTTTTCTGATGTCAACTTTTAAAGGAATAATTTATAGACAACAAATCACACCAATTTAAAGTCTATAGTTTGATAACTGTTAACAAATGCACACACCCATATTACCACCAACATAATCAAAATACAGAATATTCCCATCACTCCAGTCAATCCTCCCCAAACTTTGGCCCCAAACAACTACTGATTTTATTTGTCTCTATAGATTCGTTTCTTCTACAGTTGCAGACAAATGAAATTTTAAGTATTTACTCTTCTTTGTGTGTCTGCTTTTACTCAGGAAAATGTTTTTGAGATTCATGCATACTTTGTGCGTATAAGTAGTTTGCTTCTTTTTATTGCTGAGGAGTGGTCCATTCTATGGATGTACCACAGTTTATTTATCTACTCCTCTACAGATTGTCTGGGCTATTATGAATGAAGCTACTATAAATAATTCTTTACAAAAAATGATTTGTTTCTCTTAATAAATGCCTATGAGTGGAATTTATTTTGTACATTGATATGCAAGTGTTTTATTTATTCTTGAGATGAGGCTTTCAAGGATTTGCCTATTTTGGCAACGTTGTCAAATTTATTGGCTTATTCATAATATTCCCTTATCATTTTTAATATCTGTGACATATATAGTGACGATTCCTCTTGTATTCCTAATATTGGTAAAAAGTGGCTTCTCTCTCTTTTTTTAAAAAATCAATCTAACTGGAGGTTTATCAATTTTATTGATTATTTTTTTAAAAAAAGAACTGGCTTTTGATTTTCTCTATTATTTTCCTGTTTTAATTTAATTGATGTTCCCTCTTATCAATATTATTTCCTTCCTTCTATTTGCTTTGGGTTAATTTATTCTTCATTTTCTAGCTTCTTCTGATGGAAGTTTAGATTACTAATTTAAGAACTTCCTTCTTTTCTAATGAAAGCATTAAATGCTATAAATTTCCTTCTAAGCACCACTTTACCTGCATTCCACAAATTTTGGTGTGCTGTGTTTTAAATTTTCATTCAATTCAAAATATTTTCTAATTTTTCCTGTGATATCTTCTGGACTCATGGGTTATTCAAAAATACATTGTTTATCTTCCAAATATTTGGAAATTTCCTATATATCTGTATTATAATTCTAAAATCAATTTTATTATAGTCAGAGCACATACTCTATGATTTCAGACCTTTTAAATTTGTTAAAAATTGTTTTGTGACCTAGCATATGGACCATCTGGATGAATGTTCCACAGGAAAGGAATGTATTCTATTCTGCAGGTTGCTGGGTGGAGTGCTGGGTGCTCAAGAACTTTCACTGATGTCAGAGCGGTTGATAGTGTTTTGTGTCCTCTATCCCTACAAATTTTCTACTTATTCTGACAATTATACACCTTCAAGTAGTCTAATCTGATAAAGAGTTATAACATGTGGTGTTTCTCAACTAAAGATGGTTCAAAGTACTAACTGGGACAAAAATCAAGTGCTGTTTTTCCCCAAACTCCAGCTTGTATCCTTGCTAGACTGCTCCTCTGTTGGCTCCTGTCCCCGTACATTTTCTCCCTCTTTTACCCTTTCTTCCATTCTTCAGTTTCTCATCACCAAACTGACCTCTCTTTCCAGTCTTCCAAACAGTAAAAATTCAGAGCCTAAGCATAGTTGTTGTCCTTCTCCCTGCTCTCTTTTTCTTATTTTTTGTAATAAATATAGTTTAATGATTTTATTTTATTCCCCTGATATTCATCACCCTTAGTCACACCCCCATGTTTATTTTTATTGGTGGAAATGAACACTCCCATCCCCTTGCCACAGAAAAGAGAGAACACAGTTACTCCCCAGGCAAATTTAGAAAATGGGTGATGTAACAGCCTTGGCATACCTACCTGCCACACCTGCCCACTGTCCAAACGCCACTACCCGTATTCCTCTATGATCCACCATTTTCTCATAATCAATAAGTCGGATTTCCTGAAGAAACAGTAAAAAATTTCTCAACCAGACCCATCCAGCTTAATTTGAATGAGCACAAACATATATGAGCAAGTGATTATTTCACAGTATTCCCTCATAAAATAGATCTTGACTTGCCAGGTGCACCATGAAATATTTAGAAAATGCTGGGTCACAAACCAATGATAGGTTTGTGATGAGAGATGAAAGAATGGTCCTAGCAGGGTGCTAACACCCCTTGATGGTAGGCAATAAAACAACAAAGGCATGATTTCTTTTAACTTTTAGCCCAGCACCACTGACAAATATATCCACATACTGCCCCCACTCATCCTCACATCCTTCCCTCTAGTCTCAAAAAACACAAGTCTTTCCTGAGACTAATCCCTGTGAGCTAGATGCCAGCTTTATTCTATGTCCTCCAAGACCTCTCAAATGTTTTCTTTCTTTTCTTTCTTCTTTCTTTACACTGTTCCTTTCCCTCAGCCATTCTAAATACACCCAGGTCTCTCTTCTACTTTAAAAATAACAACTATACACCCTCTCAAGTCCATACACACAAATCTATCTCATTCTCTCTCTCTCTTTCTCTCTCTCCTGTCTCTCTTAGTATCTCACTGTTCCTCTGTCTCTCTGTCTCTCTCTTTTTTTTCTCTCTCCAGCCTTTCACAAGCAAACTTTATTTTAAAAGTAGCACAAGCTGCTTGCGCTTCACTTCCTCACCTTCACTAAAATCCTCTTTCCTTGGGAATCTTCCCTCTCTCTTGGAAATGTCCTATGAACTCATGCTTAAAAACTGCTGACACATTGGAATTACAGAATGTTTTAAATAGTCTCTTTCCTCAAAGATGATATAATTCTTGCCATGTGCTTGGATTTAAGAATATTTAATATTAATCCAACTCCAAGTAATCTGTTACAAAATGTTGCCCCAAAGCAGCCCTGCTGGGTCTGTTTTCATTTTCTTGAAATGAACGAAACTTCATATAACCAAAAAGAAAAATGTTTCTAAAGTACTTTTTGAGGAGTTTTATCTGCTTAAAGTGAAACATTCTTCTACAATACTATTTCCTTTAATTACTTTTTGAATTGGTTCTTATGAAACACTGTAAATTAACTACAGTGTCTGTTTAGTGAATCTGAAATTAGTAAGAATGTAGTCTACACGTTTATGTAAAATACATTTTCCTCCATTACTTTTACTGTTTGTGAAACTCTCCTGTCCTCTACCTATTGTCAGATTCAAGTCTAGTTTCTAATGCTCTAACATCCTTACCCGAGGACTTAGACCTTGGACTTCTCCATCTACAGTCACTCCTTACCCTCACCCAGTCTCATGGCTTTAGATACCATCTAGTCTCTGACAACTGAAAAATGTGTATCTGGAGAAGCTGCCCTCCTGAGCTACAGACTCACATCCAATGGCCCACTCAGCATCTCCCCTTACATGTCTAATGGGCAAATTAAACTCGACAGGCCCTAAGCTCAAATCTTCATCCTCCCACCCAAGCCTGCTCCTCGTGCAATAGCATCATGTCAATCTAAAGCAACTCTTTTAAGTTACTCAAACCAAAATCTTGGAGTCGCCTCTGACTCCTCTCTTTCTCTCATAGTCCACATTCATCTCATCCATGAATCCTGTAGGATCAGACCTCTAAAATACATCCAAGATTTGTCCATGTGTCACGACCTCCACTCCCGCCGCCCTCAACATCATTTGTAGCCTAGCATCTGGACTAGTCTAGACTAACAATCTTCTTATCAATTTTGCTCTCCTTCTCCCGTCTCCAACTTTTATTCACAGAGCAGGCAGAATAAGCATTTTAGAACATGATTAACTCTAATCCTCCATTCAAAAAGACTGTCTGTCGGGCTTTTGCACTACTATTCTCTCAGGTTGGAAGGCTTCGCCCAGATGGATATGGCTTGATCCTTTGCCTCTTACAAATTTTTGCTCGATGCCAATATTGCAATGAGGCACTCCCTGATCATCCTATTTCAAGTAGCGTTATCACCTCCCCTAGTGCCCAGCACTCCTTTTTTTCTTCTGTATCATATTTATCTCCATTACACATATCACCAAGCGACATATGAGGTGTTGTTTATTTATTCTAGTGTCTCCTCGTACTAAAATGTAAGCTATGTTCATTGCAGTGATCAGTGTCAGACACATTGTAGGCACTTGGTAAATATTTGTTGAGTATTTTAAATAGATGTATTTTAAATAGATGATAGTTTTTCCACAGTATTTATATCTCAAAAAATGTTTCTTTTCCTTATGAATGTTAATAAATGTAAAAATAGTTTCCAGTACAGTTCTGGTACTACAGAGCTGTGCAGCCTCAGTCAAGTCACTTCACCTCTCTGGGCTCCATTTGAAAAATTAGGGTGGTAAGTTATATGATCCCTGAGGTTCCTTTTAGCTCTAAAATTCTACTTGCTAATATTTGAACTATTAACCTTATAAGTTAATAATCATTTGGAGCAAATGCTTCTATCATTCTTCCCATTTCAGAATACAAAGGAATGAAATGTGTTTGGTTCCTCTTATCACAAACTCCAAACTTGCCCAGCAGAGCAGCCCGAAGAGCAGCAGAACTATACAAGCACTAACTGCAGATCACCTCTCCTACTGAGGTGAATACGTGATGTATTTTCTAGATGCTGAAAGAAAACTAAAACTCCACCTGACAGTTAAAAGTTAAAAAAATATATGTTTCTATGTTAACATTTATGAATATTAGCCACTAATTACCTGTTTTAGGATCTCATCCAACAAACCCATATTGGCCTCCTGAGCCTTTATGGTGTGGGAGAAGAATGCATAGGTCTTCTTAGGCATTAATTTTTCCTCTGGGGGTCTTTTAACTCCCAAAATTAAACAAGCTTCAGAAATATCCTCCTGAAGAATGCCACCAGCTTTGACATATTCCTGGGAATGTAATTTTGATTAAAAGTTATTCTCCTGATTTGCTGTATTCATATTTTCTTTAATAAATAAATGTAGCAGTTAAAGTCACAACCTTTTGAAGGAAAAAAATATAAGGAACAAGTAACAGAAAAACTACTTCTAATATTCTTACTCGCTGGCTAAAGATCAATCTAACATGTTTGACTTTTGTACCAGAAACAAAAAATTAGAGAATTCAGCACATACTTTAATCTAAGAACTGTTAATAGTTTGACCATAACTGCTAGCACATGTGATTTAAATATACATGTAAAATGTATATTTTGTGCTAACAATGCCCTGAAACATTAAATGCTAAATAGTAATTTATTACTCAGGTATACTTTTAAAGGAAAGACATACATGCAATATTTTCTTTTCTTTTGTTTTTTTGTTGTTCAGTTAGTATTTATTACTGCCCTACTCTGTTCCATGGACTGTGCTAGAGATGAGATAGGACACAAAGAAACAGAGACAAGATCCCTCCTGTAAAGGAGCTCACAAAATATTGTAAAAAGAAGTCAGAGGCACAGTGCATGAGGCTGAATTCAAAAGAACATTATGAGTAGCATAATCTAAGTGATATATTACTTTAATGGATATTGAGATAACTCCCAGGTGAGATGATCAAGGAAATGTGGAAATTTAAATTAATCTAAAAGGCTGGATAAGATTTGGAGGGATGGAGATGGGAAATACAAGGTGGTAATATCAGTAAGAGATAGTGAAGGAATATATACAAATATGGAGATGGGAAAGTAAGGAGATGTTTAGGGCATAATAAGTGCATCAATTTAGAAAAATAGACTGAATATTACTATGGTGAATATGAGCTTTATTGGATAAAAATAAAAATAATCATTGATATTTATTAATAAATTACTATGTGCTTTGCTAAGCTCTTTGGGTGAATTATCTCATTTAATTCTCAAAACTCCCATGAGGTAGGTACTATTATTATCCCCAATTTATCAATGGGAAACCTGAGTCCTACACATTAAACTGAGATTTCATAGCTAGTACATGGAGGCAACAGACAATCATTTCAGATTTTTAAATAAAGGGGTAGCATGATCCAGGCAGAATTTTTAAAGCATCTTAGATGGCAGTTGAATAAAATGAAGATAAATCTAGTTAGGAATCTACTTCAAAGTAAAGTACAAATGAATAGGAAAGAAAGTAAAAGAATGAACATATGGTTCATACCTGGTTTCTCTGAAAACAATCTATTTGCCCATTTATAGTAGACTGGTTAAATAAGTCATGATAAATAATGGAGTAATTATAGCAGCCATTAAATAGAATGAAGCTGAGGTCTATGAACTGACATGAAGTGATTTCCAGGTATGCTGTAGAACAAAGCAAGGTGCAAAAGAGTATATACAGTATAAAACGTTCTGTATAAGATTGAAGGGAAAATAAGAAAACACATACATACACACACATACACATGCTTATTTTTGCAAGAAGAAACATAGGAATGATAGATCAGAAACTGATGAAAATAGTAACCTATAGGGTGGGTGGGAATGGGACGTAAGGGATTAAGATGAGAGCAAGACTTCTCTGTGTCGCATCTTTTTATACAGTTTTAATCTTTGAAGCTTGTAAATGTTTAACTTATTTGAAAAATAAAATTAAATCAAAAAGGATTTAAAGCAAATATTAAAATGTAATAGAAACAAAAATAAATCCAACTGGATATCACATTGACATGTAACCACAGAGAAAAACTCATTCAGATATCTTTTGAACACAGCACTCTGAATATTCTTCGTGGGATGTATTCTAAAGGCCAAAAAAAAAAAATTCTTCTAAGAAATATTAAATTCCATTCAATATTCTCTTACTGAGGTATAATTAACATTATATTAGTTTCAGGTATACACCTAAATGATTCGACACTTGTATATATTGCAAAATGATCACGACAATAAGCCTAGTTAACAATAAGCCCAGTACTGTTCTAGATTAAAAGAACTAAAGATACATAATAATGAATACAATGAACCTTAATTAAGCCTTGATTAAAATAAAAACCATAAAAGACAGTTGAGACAATGGGGAATTTGAAATGTGAGATGTGAGATGATATTGTGGAATTATTAATTTCTTAGGTGTGAAAAGGATACAATGGTTACATAGGAAGATGATTTATTCCTAGGAAATGTATACTGAAGCATTTAGAAATAAAGTGGCATTGTCTGCAGCATATTTTCAAACGGCTCAGGAAAGGAAAAACACATGCATGTATCTAAAATAAAAATAAAAGTCAAACCTGTGTCATAAGATTATTGTGAAGAATAAACAGAATGATGAATATGAGGGGCTTCACCTGGTGGCTGGCAAGGTAAACACTCATGAACAAACTCTACTCAGTGAAGCATTTCCTGCAGACATTTGTCTTTCCAGTCCTAGAACCAGGGTCACACATGAAGGAGAGAATGACTGAAGGATGTCATCTCCTAAAAGCAATCATTTTATCCCTCAGCTGGAAGAAAGCATGGAATGGGGTGAAAATAATACTTACTGGCTAAATTATGGGCTCAAGAAAGGATTCTAACTAGAAATCTCATAACTATATAATCTCATTATAACCGAAGTAAAGAAATATTGTCATGTGGTCTTTAAGTGACATTAGCAAACATTTTATTTTCACTCAGATGCTCCCTATTTTTCATACACAGGGTCATTTCAGTCCCACCTATTTTTAAAAATTGGAAATATTTACCTTATCGTGAATGGCCCGCCGATTGGAAGGCTGTATTAAGACCTTGTACCCCAGATTGGTGATCCCTTTGATGTGCCGGGGAGCCAGGGGAGCCCGCCTCTCCCAGGCGTTCACATCCTCCCGCCTCAATGCCATCACCGCCTTATAGTGAAGCCTGGAGAGGCTGAGGCCCAGCCTGCCCAGTTTGGTCCTAGGTACTCGCAGCATCTTGAAACCTGGTGACTGTAAAGAAATTGTAAGAGCAGGACAACAAAAGGCAAGAAGACTCACAGGTCAGTTCTGGTCTCCTGAGAAATCTGCTGTAAAATCCAACCAACTCAGGTGGTAACAGATTCAAGATGAAGAAGGGAGAGTGAAAACCTGGATGACATGATAATTTGCTGGTCATTGGGATGCTGTTTCTTTACCCAAACAAACCCAAACTTCCACAAACGAAGTTACTTCCAAAAAAAAAAAAAAAAAACAATAAAATGTCCCAAGCAACTTATGGGACACTACTCAGTGTCTGCTAAGTTGAGCTCATTTTTTTAATGTATGTTTTATCAAACACACATTCAGCACAAAAGTTTTAAGCAAGTTAACCTACAATGCAAATACAGGAAGTTAATTTATGCCAATTTTGATGATTAAAGTTTAGAATCCTTTCATAATGTACAAGATCCTTGACAATCTAGCTCCAACCTCTTTTGAGTTTCATCTCTGACCATTTCCTAAACTAGTTCTACTCAGTGTGTTTTATAGCCTGTTGTCAGTCAGTGACTGCTTTGTACTGGTCCACAATGAGATATGTACAGAAATAGAAAGTAAGCACTTAGAAACCTTTATATGACAGGATCATTTTTCTAGTAATTCATTGGTATTGAATTTTATAAAAGCATTGGTCCTGGAAGATTGGAAATTTAAGAAAACAAAACAAACAAACAATTTATCACCACAGGTGTTAGAAGCTGAAGAAGCACCTGACACCCCCAGCCTCGCTTCTCTGACCCTGTTGTTGCTCTAAACATTCTCTTCCCGGGCTTCCCTGGTGGCACAGTGGTTAAGAATCAGCCTCCCAATGCAGGGCACACGGGTTTGAGCCCTGGTTCGGGAAGATCCCACATGTCGCGGAGCAACTAAGTCCATGCGCCACAACTACTGAGCCTGCACTCTAGAGCCCGTGCTCTGCAACAAGAGAAGCCACTGCAATGAGAAGCCCGTGCACCGCAACGAAGAGTAGCCCACGCTCACAGCAACTAGAGAAAGATCGCGCACTGCAACGAAGACCCAATGCAGCCAAAAAAAAAAAAAAAAAAGAAAAAACCATGCTCTTCCCCTTTCCAGAGTTTCCTCTACCAGACCACCTCCCCCTGCTATTATATTAAACCCAGACCTGTCTCAGTTTTCTAACTGCTATTCCAGATTCTGTAACCCTATTCATTAATTCAATTAAGAAATATTTACAAGAGGCTTACTATGTGTCAGCACAGAATAAATTTTACAGAAAATTTTAAAGCATAAGTATCAAACAGTATTCTGTGCCTCTTCAAATGGTTACATAAATTTAGTAGTCAGAAGTCATTTCAGACTATCTAATTTGCTGGTCATTTGGATGCTGAACCTTAGTTTTCTATGTTTAAGGTTGGCATGAAAATATAGAGACTAAATGATTTTACATCTTCTAGAAATTCCCTAGCATATAGCACAATTCTTATGGAACACATTTCTGTTACATCAGACTACAATCTCTAAATCAGACCCACCTTATAGACAGGGAAGTTTTGTCCAACAATGGAATGTACAAGTACTATTTCCTGGGGGCAAACTACTTATCACCCTAGATAGAAAACTTGTAGGATAACTCACAACACAGACTAAAAGAATAAAGCAAACAGCAAAGAGTCCGGCTAAGAAGGCTTTAGGAAGAAAAGGGGCAGGGAGAGAAAACACTGCACACAGCAAATGAACATGCCGGTCACGAGGAGTTCAGGCTAACTTTTACTCAGGCCAAAATACGGATGACTGACATTTCAGTAAAAGTCTGTTATATACTTTATCTAACTTTTCGGTTTACTTATATAGTTTCATTTTTAAAAGAGACTATGCTAAGCCCAAATCCAAGCCCAAGCCCATAACATTTATTCTCCCCCAAGCCAAAGGAAAATCTGCAACGTCCCATAGAACTTGAATCCCTATGTTTGTAAATGAAATCAAGTCCAAAGACAAATGAGTCTTCTAAACACACTGAGAAGCCCAGAAACAGTCCCATCTTCTCAGCAGGGGCTGCATCTCACATACCATAGTTGACCAAGCGACCCTAATCCTCTATACTTAGTAGCAGTTCTTGGCACAAAGATTAGGAAACATGTCCAAATAATTCAGTTTCTTTCCTTAGCCCAAGCTTGATTTATAGCCACAGCTTCCCCTTTCTCAGCAACACTCCCTCCTCTTCCACACCTCCTTTGCCTGAGGTCGGGGGTACAGCGTGCGAGGAGAGACATAACCACATACACTCATGTAATACACACATACACGTTTGCAGCGGCAGACCTTCCCCGGGACCTAGGAAAGGAAAGTAGCAGAGGCTGGCCTTCTGCGTTTTATTTGGGAAGCTACTTTCACTTTCACTTTTTGTAGGGAATTCTTGAATCACCAATTCCTGACCCTTTGTTTTTAAAGAAATAGAACAATAGTCACCACTGATTTAACATTATATGCTTAGCACTATACTGAGCACTTTACAGACATTATCTCATTTCCCCCTTGCAAAAATCTTATTTAGTAGATACTATTATTAGCCCCATTTTACAGATGAAGAAACTGAAGTGAAATCCAACTAGAGCTGTTGCTTTCAAGCAGAAGCAGAATCCCTAGGGTAATATTCAACACTCAGGATTTTCTCTTCTTTGCCAAAGCCTGCATATCCACACCTCGTACATCTGACATATGTTACTCCTGCCAGCTCAATTCAGAAATAAATCAGATCCATATGGCATATTATTAGTTCTCGCACAGCATGGGGTGCCTCCATCAACCCCTTTCTATGTGTCACCAAAAATCCTTCCTGAGTCCCTGCCAAGGTAAATTCTAAGTTTCTGGATGCTTAGAAAAAAGATGATTATAGCAGGTCTGATTATGTTAGTAATTGCTTGAACCTTGAAACTTGGTCTCAGCATAGAACTTTCTGGGACCGCCATTCATTTCATTCTCAGGTCATCAAGAAATATGTAACAGTGAGAATTTCTGAATTACTCTGAGGTATGGCACTGCAGGTGTCTGACATTTCATGGAAATGCCCAAGTGGGTTATTCTGGACTTCCCTGTCCTGTATTTTATGGGCTTTTCCAAGAATATCGTGAAGTAAATGTCATGTATATTTCTGGCAATGCCTTCAAGTGGAAGCAAGGCAGTAAGACTCCGGACTTATTCACTGGCTCAAGTGAGGTTAATTGACAGGGTTGTGTGCTGATAACAGCTTCTGGCATGAGCAAGGAGAATGTGGAAAAGCAAGAGAAGGAAAGGAAAGAGGAAAAATAAGGAGGAGGAAGAGGAGGTGAGAAATAAGGGGAGAACGAGAAGTGTCACCCAGTCAGGGTTGGAGAACAAGACCCTTTCCCTGACAATTTCTAAACAGTCTTCCCTTCAACACATGAAGGGCCAATGTTTCAAATGGCATTAAAATAAAATTTAAAAAGATTCTTCTGTATGTTTTTGTAAAACAAGAATAGCACTACGGGGCTTCCCTGGTGGTGCAGTGGTTGGGGGTCTGCCTGCCGATGCAGGGGACACAGGTTCGTGCCCCGGTCCGGGAAGATCCCACATGCCGCGGAGCGGCTGGGCCCGTGAGCCATGGCCGCTGAGCCTGCGTGTCCGGAGCCTGTGCTCCGCAACGGGAGAGGCCACAACAGTGGGAGGCCCGCGTACCGCAAATAAATAAATAAATAAATAAAAGCCAGACATTTTCTCGATGAGCTATAATTTGCCCATTGATTATGGGAGAAGTGTTTTGATTTTCTTTCTTTAATTAAAAATAAATTTGGGGTTACTTAAGGTATGCATAGCGTGATGTTAGTTTCTTGTAAAGCAGCAGCAATCCAGTCCCCTGCTCATTTTCATGAGATCCAACAGGAGCAGCATGAAACAATTTTATCTAATTAAATGACCTCAAGCATTATCTGCTGGTGACTTATCAATCACTAATTATAGCTGAATATTAGAGTCAGAGTGGATGGGAGAAAAGATCATCTACAACCAGAGAATACAAATGAAGGTAGCGTGCCTCATATAAATATGGGATTTCCCATGTTTCATAAACAGCATTTTCCAAGCATCTATGGATGAATCATAATAAAACAGTCTGCTCTCTGGTTGGTATAACTTTTAAATGTAACTGGATTAGGTTACATTTATCTGTTATTGTTCAGGTAGTACTTATGCCAGAAAACAGAGTACTTGATTTGTGCTGGTTTTCACGGGTTAGAGTGGTAGGTGGATGAAGAAAGCTGAGATCTACAGAGAGCTTTTTATCCTTCCATCGAATGTTCAAAAATCTTTTAAGTCTCTTCAATCCTTTCCATACTATCAACCTAAACAGAAAACTTTTTAAACCTACAAACCACCTACCAAATCCAGAACAATGTGCAAGCAAATACAAGAGCTTAAGTACAAAAAAGGGTTAGGCTTGGCCCCTTCTAATTTCTGGTGCTTCCACTGAGACACATCAAAAGGATTACGAATTCAGTATTAAAGAAATTTTAAGGCCAAATCATCTATCTTTAGCCCCCAAAGTCAGAGATGTGCTCTTTGTCCTTATATTTTAGATCTTTGAAATAATTCCACTAGAACATAATTCAGTGACTCACACTAAAACCATCCAATTACATGGAGAGATTTCTCAATGCCAAGTTATTTGCAAATGATCAGGCATACATCTTGGTTAAATATTGAGACACTAAGGATGGAGTAGCCTTGAGCTGACTAAAATAAATAATGAGTGAGAAATGCAAATGTTTTATATCCACACTTCCAGTTTATTCAAAAAGTGCAAGTGTATTTAAAAAGCCATGGTTTCCCAGGAAGCCTTGGTA